AATTCAAATCTAGCTAGAAGAATAGAATTGAGTGTCTTTTGCATCTGCTTGTTGCAAAGGCTTTGTATGATAATCCATTTGGGAAGTATAGACCTGCAGCATAAAACTTTCTAAAATGGTAAGCCGGCTCCTACTGGTGTAAGAAAGTAGAAAATGTTACGCTACTATAATAGGGAGTTAACCTCTGAGACTAGGGCGAGGATACATTGTGAAAAGATTTTTGCTGAATTTAGCGTTGTACATCTGACTTGAATCTACTTGATTTAATAGTCACTATCCAAATTAAGAACGTTCCATTTTCTGGTATTCATTGTTATCATCTAGTAGGCTCTGACACGGATGCCTGAGACCAAATGGAACTAGGGAGCAGGTAATGGTTTTATATTATTGAGGGCTAATTGGATGAGAGCTGGCGTTATCGGTGTGGGGAGCATGTAATCAGTGTGTTGGCATTTGTGGTGTTTGAACTAGAAATAAAACTCCTGACTAGAACAGTTTCAGTGAACTCTCTATAACCAACATTTTAAACCCTGCTATTTAACATTCATTGCCCTCATTTTGATTAGTTTTTTCAAAAAAAATTATGCAAACTTGGAATCACTTAAGTCTTGAATGGTTGATGAAATATGGTAGATTGTGCCACATGGATGCAATTAGGGGCACTCTTTTGAGATTAAAGTTATACTAAGATTTTAGAAATGAATAAAGACAGTTTTATCCTGAATCTCCCTGTCCTCCACCTGACTTGACTGTTTTATTTACAAATATTTTTTCAAAATTCTCTCATTTTGTAATTATGTTGTACTTCAGTTCACTTATGAAATGAGCTTTTTTAAAAGATTTCCATTTTGATAATTGTAAACAACACTCCAAGGGAAAGGAGCAATTATAGCTGAACTTACCTCAGTTCTGTTGTCTGTGCATATGATCTTTTGAAGAAAGCTTTCTGTGGCTGATGCTTTTTTTTTCTTTCTATTTCTTCTGCCTGTTCAGGATGATGACGGCATTTTACATAAGGTAATGGTACGTTTGGAAAGTGTTGGACTTTTATTGGTTAAATACATCTAATCCCTTCTGAATATTTCTGAAATTTCTAAAACCACCTGGTTAGAAGCCAGTGTTAAATTGTTAGTTTTTTTTGCTATTTTTCAACAAGATAACTTTGTTCAGTCAGAAACGCCAGTGAAGGAATTTACATGTTTTCTGTTGGTTTAGGTAAAGATGCTGTAGTCTCAAAGGACTTTAGCGCTGCCCTGTCATTAGAGAGAGATGATTGGTGGCTTAATCTGAAGAGTGTCATGTCTGAGATGAGGAGAGAAGTTGATTTTATGATATGGGGGACCTTTATGATAACCTCAGCTGGAACAGAAATTGAACCACATTATTGGCGTCCCCCTGCATCACAAACCAGCTGTTTATCAACTGAGTTAACTGACTAGCTTAAGTAACCACTGAATGGTAACATCGGAAACTTAGGAACAGAAATAGGCCGTTCTGCCATTTAATGGCTAATCTCTGGCCTAACTACATATACCTCCCTTTGGCCCATATCCCTTAACAACATGCTGTAAAGAGATTGGACATTCTCTCCCAGTTAGTGGCTGGTTGGGTGTTGGTATCTCCTTGAAATAACCATTCATGCGTGACCCTACTGAATATCTGTTAACAGGCTTTTATGATGTTGGAGGACACCACCAGATGAGTCTATATATGCACAGGAATCACTGAGAAATAAGGAGAGTTGAACATCTTAATTGATTTTTACCCCCCACTTCACCATAGCCCATTGGACTTTGAACCAGTTGTAGTGTTCTAACCGATGACCTGGCTGAAGCCAGCTAACTGACACAAACTTGTAATCTTGGACATTAAAACAGGGAGCTTTTGACCCAGACCATTAGAGAGTTTTCTAAGTATGACTTTAATATAAAGTTAAAAAGGGCAATACTAATACCTGTCAGAATACATTTCTGGAGAATTTCTAGTGAATGCACAATCTACCAGTGCTTACTGAATGACCCACAATGGCTCAGATAATATTGTTGTGTTCTTTCTATTTGATGTTGTAAAAAAAACTACATAGCATTGACATCTTCAGAATTTCAAGGGTGGTTGAGTAACTTATCGCCTGCAAGTCTGCCCTTGTTATCAACTAACGTCTTTATGGTTTGATTTTACTACCCTTGCATACTAGAACTAATAGTCTGAAATATCTGTGTGCACTTGAACCAAGTGATCTGTTAGCATTTGTGGGGGCATTTTTACTCCTGGCATTCTTTGTGCACAATTGCAAAACTCAGTCAGAAAATCATGCATATATATTCTGTGAAGTGTAGAAATTTGCAGGATTTCACATGGTATACTAAGTAATTTGCTTTAATCATGATACAAATCACTACCACACCAATCTAATTACTCACTTTTGTTTGTAGTGCTGTGGCCAGCTGATAAGGTGTTCCAAATGGTACTTGTATTTTGGGGTACAAAGAATACATCGAACATAGATTGTGAAATATACAGTCCTTAAATCTTCACAGCGTTCCCGAATAAATCATAATTCATAGTCATTTATGGCATGAAACAGAAATGACTATTTGGCCCATTTAAGTCACTGGCTTGTAATGTAGTCAGTTCCATTCTCTTGCTGTAACCCATAACCCTCACTCTCCTTTCTGCCAAAGTGCCTCACTGTACATGTTCACAAAATTCTGAATACCATTTGTTACTCATTCTGCTAGTTGTGTCTGTTGCAATCACTTTGTACCATCTTCACTGTTTTTGTCATTCTTCCAGGCTTGGTATCATTGGCAAATTTTGACATTTTATTTTGCATCCTAATATCCAGGTCATTTATACATTGCAAACAAAAAGGGGGTTGTTTGTATGGTAAATATCAGATATCTTGCATATTTTGCCATAATTTTGCTCTCCTTGAATTCCTGTTACTGCTGTTGGGAATCCTCTTCTGACGTAAAGGCAACACCAGCACTTGAGTGAAGTAATAACAAATTGGTATACTGTGTAGAATATTGAACTGAGGGTTGAATAACTGCTTGTGTATCTATGGCTTTAATGCTATTGAAAACAATGGACAAAAATCATCAATTTTCAGTACAAGGAAATGAGATCTGTTGATTCTCTTGGGTAAAAGCTGTAGCATTGCATTGTTAATAAGCAGTATTTTACCTGAATGTTTCTCTGATTTCGTAAAAATGTGCTGCCTTCTCCTCTGCTCTTTTTTTCTGATATTTTCCTTTTGCTATTGCAGTTTCTGTTCTTTAAAATCCCAATTTTTCCATTTATTATTATCCAGATTATTTTTATCAGGCTCCAAAGAGTACGTGCTTTTTCGGCTCTGCATGTCTTAAGAGCCCTACTACAATACATTTACACAGAAGACACACAGTAAATGCATTGACATAGGAGGGGTAGAATGCATATTTTTCAACCATGTAATTTTTTTTTCTTGAATTTCCCAAAAATACATTGATTTATTTTACTATGAATTTTACGTATTTGAACAAAATCCAAAATAGTTCTATATTTCTTTTCATAAATTGAAAACTGAAAATTGAATAAGATTTAACTAATTTCATCTCTTTAAGACGTACTGTGCATCTATGCTGTGAAATGTCATCTTGGAATGTTGCCAATCTCATGTTGTCTTGCCTGATTTTATGTGTTAGCCAAACAAAATATAACTGAAACATGTATTCCTGTCACTAACCATGCTTTTTTCTGGTAATTCTCCAGTTCTTTCCATAGGTAGCTTTTGTGACTCTCTCCTTCTCCTTAGCACTCCTGCATTTATTTGTTTTCTTCAATTCAGTTTAAAGCCTTGACGTTTGAGTAGTCACCCAGGTATTCATCGAGCATGACAATCCATGCACTGTTCATAAAACATTACTGATAAGATCAAAAAGTAAGTTGGTGCAAGGTCATTATCACTGCATTATGTTTTCATATGGTGCAAAGTAATGAAATATTCATTTTCTGTTAATTCTTTAAAAAAGAGATTTTTGTTAGAGCTCAGGTCATAGTCCTTTACTGATATTAGAGGACTAACATGATTTCTGAATATAGCATTCAGCCATGGAGCACTATTATCACCTAGAATTCTGTGAGAATTTTCTGGGCAAGGGAAGTAAATTTATTTACTTGATTTCTAAAATTAATAACTCATAATTCTGGTTGAGCATCATAATGAACAATATTAGAGTAATAAATATATATTAAAAGTACAGGAAAGAACCGTTGTACATTTTAATCGACTATAGATGAGTTTCTGCTCTGGATTTGAATCAGCAAAAATTACAAATTAAAGGACTTGTCCCTTTATAGTAAGTGACCCTGAATTGTATAAATATTCTGTTTAATAGGAGAAATCTCGTTTAGAACTTGTCACAGTGGATAATGCAGGAACTGACAATAGACCTCTGCAGATTCCAAAGGAAATTTGGTTATTGGTGGATCATCTGTTTAAAAATGCAAGTCGACAGGTACATGCAATTAATTTTCATTTTCTGTTTCACCTGTAAGCTATTATTCATATGATCCATTCATCATTTGTCAAAAGAGAATGTTTTGCAGATGACTGTAGGCAAAGCCTTATGATCTTGTAGCTTGAATATTCATAATCCAGAAAGAAGTAGTAAATTGAATGTTGATGCTAGCTAATGGAAGAAGTTCTGTTTGAACAATTATAATTTTGCAAAAATGAGGATAATGCTGCTACGTTTTAACTTTAAGGATTAAGTTTGTCTACCTACCACAGCCGTAATACTGAATTTTTGCAATCCATAGTCATTTTTACTTAAATGTTTTTCCTGAGCTGTCTGCCTTGTCTGAAGATGCTGACCGTTGCTGAGATATGATTCAATATTCTGGTCATTCATTATACAAGGATCTAAAGCAGTTGTTCAAGGCTGTAAGACCACAAAAGTCATCACTGTGAAGCCTGACCTTGTCTCAATTTGCACACCTTCAGGACTCACAATAAATCAATAACAAAATAATAAGGAGCGGCAAGGTGGCTCAGTGGTTAATGCTACTGCCTCAAAGCACCAAGGACCCATTTTCGATTCCAGCCTCAAACAACTGTCTCTGTGGGGTTTGCACTCTCCCCTTGTCTGCATGGGTTTCCTCCAGCTGTTCTGGTTTCCTGCTCCAGTCCGAAGATGCATAGGTTAGGTGGATTGGCCATACTAAATTGTCCATAGTATCCAGGGATATTCGGGTTAGATGGATTAGCCATGGTAAATGCAGGGTTATGGGGATAGATCTGGGTGGGATGCTGTTCAGAGGGTCAGTATGGACTCGATGAGCCATATGACCTCCTTCCCCACCCTAATGATTCTATGAAACTGTGAAACTAAACAAGAATGCAGACTAATTCTTTTCAACCCCCTTCATTTCCCATGTAGTGCTCTCCTTTCATAAGAAGTACTAACTTCACATATCTGCAGCTGCAATCTTCAAACCATATGCTTTTATGCCCCAATCAGCTCACTGGGGCCATTTTTTTTTAAAGCATGATATGTTTATTATCTGTTAATAATTGTAGGAAACCTATAGCAATGAGATCTGAAGTCTGGACTTAGAATTTCAATTGCACAGTGTGCTTTTTTTGCATTTCTCAAAATATGTTCTTTCATTTATTCACCATTGTATATGAAGCAATGCGGGAGAATTAGAAATGTGAATTTTCATCAGTGCAAAGATTCAAAAACTTACAGGTTTTCATTAACCTTTTGCTGTCTTGACAGGAGGATTTGTTCCAGACACCTGGTACACAGGGAGAACTTCAACAGATTTTCGACTGCTTGGACACAAGCATTCCACAAACTATTCGTATCTTTTACAGTGCAACAAGGAGCGAATGTCAAGTTATGTTTAATTTCATGGGGTGTGGGTGATGCAAGCAAGGTAGCATTTGTTTCTCATCCCTAATTAGCTCTGTGAAAGTGCTGCTGAGTTGTCGTTTTCAGCTGTTGCATCCATTGGGTGCAGGAATACCACAGCCCTGCCAATGGGAGTGGCAGTGAAGAAACAACAGTATCATTCTAAGTCAGGATTTTGTGTGGTTTGGAGGTGAATGTGCAAATGATATGCCTGCTGCCTTTGTTCCTAGATGTTGGAGATTTTGAAAGTGTTGTCAAAGGACCCTTCTTAAATTGCTGCAGTGCATACTGTAGCTGGTATACACTGCTGTCACTCAGTGTTGTTGGTGGAAGGAGTAAATGTGAAAGGTGATAAATGGTATGTTAGTCAAGTAGACTGCTTTGTCCTGGATGATGTTCAGCAACTTGGTGTTTTCAGCCCAATCACGTAGACCAGTGAGGAGTATAAGTATTACCCCTAACTTTACCTTGTAGATAATGGGCAGACTATTGGCAGTCAGGAGGTGAATTGTTCATTTCAGTATTGTTATTGTTTGACCTGGTCTTGGACGGTTTCTGGACAGTAGTAACACAATGTTGATTGTGGAAGATTCAGTAATAATGCCGTTAAATGTAATGCGGAGGTGGTTGGATTCTCTATGTTGTTGGAGACCGTCATTTCCTGACACTGTAACTGAACGGTTACTTTCTGCTTATCAGCCTGAGCCTGAGCGTTATCCAGGTCTTACTACATATTGCTGACACAAACTGTTTCAGTACCTGAAGTGTCCCAAATGGTGTGTTTATTCTGCAATTGTCAACAAGCGTCCCTGTTTCTGATGGAAGGAAGGTCATTAATGAAGCTGCTGAGGAGCTCCTGCAACAATGTTTTGAGACTGAGATAAGTAGCTGCTAACGAATACGCCCATATCTTTCATACTTGGTCTGATTCCAACTAGCAGAGACTTGCCAAATAGAACAGAAATTGCTGGAGCAATTCAGGTCTAAGAGCATCTGTGGAGAGAGAACTAGTTTCAAGACTAATATGAATGTTCTTTGGAAGTGAAGAGTTACCCCTGATTCCCATTGAAATTAATTTTTCCGGTTCTCCTTGATGCTGCATTTGATTAAAAGCTGCTTTAATGCTAAGACCAGTCAAAATGTGGAACTAAATCTTCTTTTTAATGGAATAGCCATTGTTGCTTTTAGGTTCATTTTTCTTGAACATAGACTCAAGAGTAGGCCATTCAGCCCTTTGAGCCTGTTCCACATTCAGTAAGATCATGACTGATCTGTAGCCTAACTCAATGTACCTGCATTTGGCCCATGTCCCATAAAACCTTTGTTTAACAAAAAAATTAGCAAGAACTCTGCATCCACTGCTGTTTGTGGAAGAAAGTTCCAAACCTGTACCACCCTGTCTGTGCAGAAGTGCTTCCTAACATATCTCTCGAAGAGTCTGGCCCTAATTCTCAGACACTGCCCCCTAATTCTAAAATCCCAAACTAGTGGAAATAGTTTTTTTAATCTACCTTATCTTTTATTGTTAATATCTTGAAGACTTCAATCAGACCACTCCTTAACCTTATAAATTCCAGAGAAAACAGACCTAATTTGTATAATCTGTCCTCACAACTTCATCCCTGAAGTCCAGATATCATTCTTGTAAATCTACATTGTACTCCCTCTAAGGACAGATACACCTTCCTAAGGTGTGGTGTCCAGATCTCAATACTCCAAGTGTGGTCTAACCAAGGTTTTACATAATTGCAGCATAACTTCTGCAATCTTGTACGCCAGTCCTCTAGATGTAAAGATCAGCATTCCATTAGCTTTTTTGATTGTTTTCTGTGCCTGTTCATGGGAATTTTAAAGACCAATGCACCTAAACGCCTAAGTCTCTTTAGACATCCACTGTATTTATCTCCATACCATCTAGAAAGTATAAGAGACCCTCCAATGTAGTAGATTGCTGTAGATTATTGGGGAGCTGTGCAGACTTGAGTGGGCCTGGCGCAGACTAATGGTAGTTGGGGTGGGAAAGAGTTTGAGTTACGGGGGCTTGTGCTTTGATGAGGCAGTTGTAGCGCAAACTCACGGCAGCTGCGGGGGAGGCAAGTTTGGGCCCAGAACAAGACCTTGCAGAAGCAGCTGCATCAGTGAGGTGGGCCCACAGCAGTGGAGTCGAGTTTGGGCCAGTGCAGTACCCAGCAACATCAGTGGCGTCTGCATTGGCAGGGTCCAGCGAGGACTCATAATGGTGAGGTGTTGGTGGAGGCGAGATGGTGCCAAAGAGTGGCGACTTTTGTTCCAACTGCAGCGGCGAAGGGACTCATCAACTACCGTCTGATGTGAATATTAAATACCACCCAGATGGAGAATTTTACCCGCTGTCACCTCTGTGGCAAAATTAAACTGACCACTATAGATCTACATGACCTGCAATGTGCGAATGACTACATAGTCATTGCTCTCACTGCACCAGATTTGCATATCATGCCTGATCTCTTCGGTTTTGAACAATGGAGACTTAGTCTGTCCTCGAATGTTGCCAAAGTAAAATTTGTATTTCATCCAGATATACTTAGTCAAAAATCGCACATAGGTTGAAGGATAGACTCTGGAATATGTTCAGCAATTCCTGTTTGCTGGCAGCTATTTCTCTTAAAAAGGCCCCATTAATGACAATGGAATACTGGGTCAACTGCACCAGTTCAGACGTACAAATTGGCAGAAAGCATTGGTCAGCAAAGGCCCCACAATCAACAAATGTCCTGGTATATAGGAAAGTTGTTGTCACCACACTCTTGTACTCCAGTGAGTTCTGGACTGTATCAATGACACATGAGAGCACTTGAGAAATGCCATATTCTCTGGATTCAACTGGAGAATTATTTAACAAATGCTCTCGTTCCTCTTGAAGCCAGCTCTACAGGCATCTAGGCAAAACTCCTTCAAAATAGACAACAGTGGACTGGGCACTGTTTCCTTTTGGCTGAAAAGTTTCTCCTGTTCTCTGTCCTGTTCTTTCAACTCTCAAATGTCAGTGCTCCAAGGAAGACACAGAAAACATTTCAAATGCACTCTGAAATGTGGTAACGTTGATATTGATAACTGGGAGAAACTTGCTACCCAGTCGTTCAAGATTACAGCAATTTGTCTGTCAAGTGCATCATGTTTCTAGTTCAAACACCTTTAATGATACAGAGTGGACAGACAAGCAAAGAAAAGAAAGCAAATCCTACTGCCTTGTGGGGCATCTTGTTCCATGTGCCCACAGATCTGCAGGTCAAGAATCAGTCTAATCAATCACATGAGCCATGGTAGGAATTCAGGAACCTGAGGAGCTAGCACCTTGAGTCGGGGAACAACCAACAGTGATGGTCTCCTTGCCCCTTGCTACTACCCCCCAACCCCCTGTATTACGCTGAAGAAGAATTATTCACTAGAAAGCTTTGTGTAAAGGAAGTAAATAATGGAATGCTTTGTACATTAACCAGAGTTATGCATTGAAGGGTCAGGGCTGTTCTCTCAGTTTTCCCCAAAATATATGTATAATTAAATGATATTGCACATGTACTAAGAATAAATTGCATTTGTCTGGGTTGTAACCTCAAGTGGTTATAGAAGAGCCAGAAAGTAGAGTTAAATTGCAAAGATTGACGTAAAATTCTAACTATTCTTTGGTATTAAGATCACATGATTTCCAAACAGACAAATGTGTTGTAATGCAGTTAGAGGACATGACTTCACTGATGTAACTTCATTGCCCCAGCATTGTTTGTCTTAATTGTGTTTTATCTTAAAACATCCAAGTTGGTTTAATGCACTGTTAGTAATTTGCTTTTTGCAATATTTTAGAGAACAGGAATCCTATCCACATCTTGGTTGCAGTTAGTATTTGGTGTAGCAAATCAGAGCAGAGTTGATGGGGTGGGGAAGGCAAGGCTCCAACAGAGGGTGCATGATTTGTTTTTGTACACATGATTTGCCTAAGAATGGTTTCAGTAAAATCTATCATGAAAAGAGCTGATGAAATTTGATGAATGGTTGCTGGATATTGTGTTCAGCAAATGAGAATTTTAGGAGTTTATTTTTTCATTCTAGGCAAAAATCATGTGATCTTCATTCCGAACAATAGTTAGAAATTTATATCAATCTTTAATCCCGTGTCCCTTCATTAATAACAATGTAGATTTGTTGCAATCCCATATGTTTCACTTGAATGTTTTATACTAGCCCTAATTCATATCTGCTATTGAATATTCAAGACCAGTGAATTCTGTTTACTTCTCCTGATTTCATATGCCAGCTGGCAGTAACCATTCAGTAGCTGAAGCTTTGCTCATCTTCCTTGAAGCCCTTCCAGAGCCTGTGATATGTTATGAGCTACATGTTCGATGCCTAGAAACTTCATTTGATAGTCGCAGCTGCAGACAGGTAAGAGTTAAAGTTCCATGATTATTGTGTGACTATTATGATACTGTATAAAATGGGGTCCACACTATCAAAATTTGACATACCTTCTTTTCTCTATATCAGATATATATAGTATATATGGCCATAAAAAAGAGCAGGAGTAGATCGTTCAGCTCCTTGAGCCTTTTCTGCCAGCCAATAGGGTCTGGCATACCATTCATTCACTTCCCTGCATTTCCCTGTAACTCTTGTTTTCCCTTACTTATCAAGAACCTATCTGTCTAAATATATGCAAGGGCTGCTGTCTGTGGCAAGGACTTATAAAGACACTCAATCCTCCTAAGAGAAGAAATTTTCTTCCTCATCTGTTTTAAATTGATGCCCCTTTATTGTGCCCCCTGGTTTTAGACTTTCCCATGAAGGGAAACATCCTGTTAGCATTTACAATGGCAAGCACCTTAAGAATCCTGTATGTAACCAACATAGCTACCTTTATTGTAACAGTTTACATTTAGATAGGTCCTTTACCTCAGTTTGGATCATTGTAGCCCAGGTGATTCAAAGAAGCACAATTTGCAACTGCATAGTTTGTAATAAACTTGCATCACTGGAGATTTTATGCAGAAAAGAACATGGAACTAAGTTGAAAGAAGTACATTTTGATGTTCAATTCAATAGCAAATTTTATTGAAGAGAATTCTCACAAGGTATCAATAAGTGAAGCATGTAAATGAAATCTGGTTTTACAAATGTATGAAAACAGCAGGAAAAGCCCAGCTGGTCCATCTGGCCTGTTCCACATTACAATGGCTAGACTATCATGGCTGAACAGACTTTTCCCCACTATCCACCCTTGCAACCATGTAATCTCCCAGGAGAACAAAATAAAAGCAAATAAAGGATTTCTAAGTGAAATTGGATAAAGTGATGGAAACCAGTCCAGGGGATCATATGAATCAAGCATTACCTATAAAAATATATCTATATGTTGTGATTTCTGCCCTTTCAGGAACTGATTTAACTTCTTCTTGAAAGAATACCAAGAGTCTGTTTCACCATAGCACTGGAAACGTATTTTGGTGGCTCAAAATTGTCTGTAGCAAGAGAAAATGCATAACATTCGGCCATTCCAACTTTTACTTAGATTAAACTCGGTCTCCTAGTCCTACCCATCTGTCAAACAGGAACAAAATAACCATACGTGCTGAATTCAACCCTTTATTTTAGACTTCTCTGATGTAGATTAAATAAGATGAGATCTTGAACATATCTGAGTAATTAAGGATTTTTAAACTAGGAATTGATTTTGTAGCTCGAGACTAGTCTTTTTATAAACCACTACATTACCCACTATGGGAGGGGGAGGGGTTGGAATTAAAACAAGGCATAATATGCAAGGCAACAAGGTGCAGGGCTGGATGAACACAGCAGGCCAAGCAGCATCATAGGAGCAGAGAGGCTGACGTTTCGGGCCTAGACCCTTCATCAGAAAAGGGGGAGGGGAAGGGGGTTTTGAAATAAATAGGGAGAGAGTGGGAGGCGGATAGAAGAGGGATAGAGGAGAGGATAGGTGGAGCGGAAAC